CTCTCAACTTGACCGGTGAAATATACGATTGTGTTTAAAAAAAAAAAAGAAAAAAAAAAAGGAAAGTACGGTGTACAGGAGGTAGAAAGGGAGAAAAGCCAACATGGTTTCTCCAAAAAAAAAAAAAAAAAAAGGGAGAAAAGGACAAGAAGCGGCGAGTTATGGCTATGGGAATGGATGATGATGGTTCCATGGTCAAACCCCCAGGACAGATCTTCCCCCCCCCCCCTCTTTCCTTCCCCCCCGGAGGGCAACTCTGCACAGACCATCGTCATCATCATCATCATCATCATCATAATGATAATCATCATCATTATCATCATTATCATCATCATTAATGATGATGATTATCATCATCATCATTATCGTCATTATCATCATCATTAATGATGATGATTATCATTATGATGATGATGATGATGTCATCATCATTATCATCATCATTATCATCATCATTATCATTATTATTATTATTATGATGATGATGATGATGCAAAGATGTTGCGAACATGAGAGTTGAAAAATTGCTCACCCTTATCGCTTCATTTTTTTTTTTTTTTTTACTATGCAAAGTTTGAAATTATTTGGTCCCCCCCAAAAAAAAGCCTTATCCATATACTTCTCTCTCGGACCTCCTTTTCTGGGGGGGTGCTTGTCACCCGTTGTCAAAAAAACACAATTGATCGATGATTACAGTCCTTATCTTGATGACCCTCTCCCCCCCCTGTGGCTCTCTTCTTGGAGCTTTGTGTTTTTTTGTTTTTGTTTGGGTTGATTTGAATTTTCGCAGCTCTATATAGGATTATGAGGATACAACAAGTTATACCGAAAAACATATAACTTGTTCCCCTTATAAACATTTTTTAACATGTATTTTGTTAAGTAACTTTTTTTACCAATTTTACTATTATTTTAGCAGTTTGTTTTCTTTTTCTGATTTTTAATGCCAGCTTGGTTCCATCCATAACACCATGTTGCAACCTCTTTGTATTTTTCCTTTCTGTTTCTTTTTTTTATATATATTTTTTCCGTTTGTTCTGTTGGCAGGCTCGTAAAGGTACTGACAGAGAAGGAGTACGTTCAGGACGTTCTCGAAGGTCCAGACATGTGGCTGGTGAGGCACCACTGTTCTTCAGCCCGAACCTCAGAAAAAAAACTAAAAAAGAAAAAAAGAAAAAGAAGGATTTGTTTTTTCGGAAAAGAAAAAGAACTTGAAAGTTGAAACGAAAAAGTGAAATAATCCAATTCATTATGGCATTCAATGCCGTTCATTAGTTTTTCAGGCGTCAAATGCAATCCCACCCACCCACAAAGACGTCCAGATTCAGGTGTCAAATGCAATCCCCCCGGAACGTTCGGTCAAGCAACACTGGCATTCATTATTTTTTTCAGGCGTCAAATGCAATCCCACCCACCCACGCACAAACACGCCCAGATTCAGGTGTCAAATCCAATCCCACCCACCCACAAACACGTCCAGATTCAGCTGTCAAACCCAATCCCACCCACCCACAAACACGTCCGGATCCAGGCGTCAAATCCAATCCCTCCCCAACCACTAACACATCCAGATTCACTTGTCAAATCGGATGCCACCCATCCACAAACACGTCCACATTCGGGTCTCAAATCCAATCCTGACCTTCATCTGGAAGCCCGAGGCCAATTCTGTACATGCAAGCGGATGTGTGCTGGTGGTCCCATGGTCAAACTATGGTCAAACTATGGTCAAACTATGGTCGAACTATGGTCGAACTATGGTCAAACTATGGTCAAACTATGGTCAAACTCAACTCCTTGACCATGGTCACTTTTGACCATGGCCAGAATTGGCTATGGCCAACTTTTTTTTCCTTACGATGGCTAGAACTGAGGCAGCATGTCAACTCTCAGGTCATGCTGTGCAGTCAAATGGTCAACGAGTATCCAATCGGGATTCCTCGCCCCCCCCCCCCCCCCCCCCCCCCCACCCAAACACACACACACACACACAAAAGAAAAAGAAGAGAGTCAAAAAGGTTTTGCTTCATACTGTAGTGGTTCCAAATGTGAGCATGTGAGAAACTGTGAATGCATTGTCTCTGTGTTTGTTTGTTCTTTTTTTTCCTTTTTGCGAATGTATTGTTACAAGTTCAACGGACTGGTACTTTCACTTGGGCATTTTCAATATTTTGACAATATCCGGTTAGTAGTCCAACCACCCCCAAAGACTCAGTCTAATGTGATCATAGGAGTCAGTCTGAAGCAAATATGGTTCTTCCCTTTGAGTTGAAGAAGAAGAAGGAAAAAAAGAAGAAAAAGAAGAAGGAAAAGAAGAAGAAAAAGATGAAAAAGAAGAAGAAGAAGAAAAAGAAGAAGAAGAAGAAGAAGAAGAAGAATTGAATTGAATTGAATTGAAATAGCGAGGCCAATCGCTATGCGTCCATGCTTTCAACGATAAGCGATGAAGCTCCTACACGGACTTTCGTGCTCAAACGCGCACATTCCCCGACGCGTTTCGCCTGGCTGCGCACCAGGACTTATCAAGGGGCAACCACACTCCCGCGTCCACTGAAGCAATCCACCCTGAGCAAAGAGGACCTTTGCGGCCTTGCCCTCCCGAGATATACAGGAACTTGACTGCAACTGACTGGTTGGGTCACGGCTTGTCTCGTTTGTAACTGACTCGGCGTGCACTCACGCTCACCCCTTCTTCCCGCCATCCTCAAGTGTGCGCCTTGCGTGCGCCAGAACCTCGTACTACATGTGCACCGGTCGGTGGTAGGGACTTAACGCTGCGTAGTCGGCCTTCCTGGGCCTCAATCATCCTCTCCACCAGGTCAGTATCTCCCGTTCGATACTCGCCAGTCTGAAACCGGTTCCGGCTGCCGGCCCTAGTACCAGTCACTTCGACACTATCCTCCCTACTTCCGCTAGCACTCCCCTGGTTGGCCTGTTTCCTTTCCCGTGCCTACCCTACTCCTCGCCTCCCCTCAGCTACCAGCTACATCTACCTGCGGCCACTGCTACTACCAGTTCCTGTTCCACCCCGATAGGCTCTATTGTACAACCCAGTCTACGGCTCTATAAACTGGGAACCCTCCTCCCTCGCTAACTAGTGTACAACTTACTCGTCCCGGCTTCGTCCCTCTCACTATCTGTAATATTCCCTTCCCTTGTCTAATGTACAACCTGGCTCTACCCAGGCACTTTTCTCCCTCATTCCTGACCTACTACGTTGTCCCTGTCACTACTGCACCTGCTCGCTGTTCCGTCAAGCGCTCATTTCGGGCCACGATATCGAGCCTCAATATACGGTATACCTCCCCGCTCTCTCTCAGCGAGCCGCCGTCCATGTGTACGGGCTTCTCCACTTCATCCTCCTTTCCATCCTCCCATAGGGGTCTTCCTTGCATCAGTTTAACCAGCTGTTTGGCCAGCGTTTTCAGCGCTGCTCCGAACGGGCCGGTGGCTCTGGCAAATATCGCCAGAGCATTGAGGACCCGCGTAGCTGCTTTGAGGACATCTGGGATCTGGCCCATCCAGCATGTATGAAGCAGAAGCAGAAGCAGAAGAAGAAGAAGATAGCAGGCTGTTTTTCTATTTGTGGCACAAATGTTGTGCCTGGAGTGGCCCCAGCACAAAAAAAAGAAAAGAAAAAAAAAAGAAAAAAAGGAAAAAAAAAATTAAAAAAAAAATGGAAAGAAACTAAAAAAAAAGAGGAAACAATCTGGAGAAAAACTGTGTTATGTAGAATTACACTGCAAACGGGTTTTGGCAGAGGGTCACCTCAGAATTCCTTACAGAATTGAAGATGAATAAAGACATCCCCCATTCCACCCCTGCAATGGACAACACTGAAAAGCAAACCAAAAAAGAGCACGGCTTTGGGCTGCATTCAATGGGCACAGAAAAAGTAGACGATCACCTCATATTGATAAGGAGTCTAGAGAACAATTTGAAATGCAAATCCATAAACAATTGATTGTCATACAGACAGAAACAAAACAAATTACATGAAAAGTTGCATTATATGAAACTCCATGAGTTATTTGGCCTTCAATTGAAGGTAACTTTGTCTTATGAAACYCGTTTGGAAAAGCAAAGCAAAAAAACACAAAAATGATTCGGGAGCGAAGCTGTATGAAAAACAGTTGCTGGGAAGGAAAACCACTCAAACAATTAACTTTCCGTTTCAAAAAGGCGTCTGCTGGACGAAATTCCACAGGTCATACCATCCTTTTCCATAGAGGCTCCCATGCGAAACGACTGCAGCAAAGAATTGACTTTCAAGGTAACACTTCGTTGACGGGTAAGGTAGAAAGAATCGCATATGATCCAAATTGTTCCTCTTGGATTGCCCTAGTACGCTATACAAGAATAGAATAGCAAAAAAGAAAAACAAGAGTAGATATCCCATGAACAAAGTCATAGCTTCGTCCTCAGTTTGATATGAAGTACAAAAAAGAATTAAAGGTAATAAAGTAGGCAATGTCGTAAAAAAGAAGAAACTAATTTTTCGAGAGTCTGTAGATAGTTCTAGATCCGTAAATCTGGGCCTAAGGCTCCCCTCCGTCCAAGCGCGGATTCGAACCGGCGACCTCGGCCTCAAGAGCAAAGTCTCTTAAGCCCAGACACCGTTTTCAAAAGTGGGAACCATACCACTTTTGATATATCCACCGCAGTCCTGCAAGGCTGTAGTGTCCAAATCAGCACGTGACGCCACCCCCAACCCCCCCCCACCCACCCCCCACCAAATGAAAAAACAAAAAGAAATCCTCAAGTTTCTACATGCCCGGGGTACTTTGTGAAGGCAACCGGCGACTTGCACAGCAGGCACGGCCATCCAGGCC